CCTGCTCGCCGTGGCTGTCATTTCCGCTCACTGCTATTGTCATTTCTGCTCATTGCTGCTGACATTTTCACTCACCGCAATTGTCATTTCCGCTCGTTGCCGCCGCTGCTCGGAAAAACCGTTCATTACTATTTTCTGTTGTTCCAGCAGTCTGACCGGCTATTTTCTCTCATTTTCCAGTTTGTTTTCCTTCCCTGTTGTTCCAGCAGTCTGACCGGCTATTTTCTCTCCAGTTTGTTTTCCTTCATGCAGCTCCCTCTAGTTGTCGGCGTCCTCCTCCCTTGCCGTCGCTACCCTTCTAGCTCCTTTTACTGCCCCGACTACACACAACCCATTTCAACCACTATTTGCGTTCCTTGACCACTTAGTCGCCTACCACTTATGAATTGAACTCTAATGTGAGTTTGTGTTGTGTCTGTTGTACTTTTTTTCTTTGAAGTGTGTTTGATTATGACCATCTGTTTACTTTTAGCAATAATATTTTGTTTTCCTATTGTGGTTTGGGTTAACTTTGGTATCTGGGATTAACCGTGAGGGCATCCCAACTCACTTATTAACCTTTGGATCTACATCCTTCATTAATTCACACAACAGTTTCTAATACTCATATTTTGCATAACTTCTATAGATCACTTGTTGCTCCTTGCTCTTCCAGGTGATAAAATTTTCTCAGACATAGGAATAATATCCAAGAGTAGATCTTATGTCTGTGAGTTCTCTTGCCCAACTAGCATGAATATAAATCTCTACCTTCCTAATATCTGATTATTTAAATCGTGACCCTCTGCCCGGGTCTTCTTAAGAAGTGTTAATATTCTATAAACCATCTCAAAATATTCTTCATTCAAACTATTTATATTTTGACTCATAATGTCGACAGAGTAAACAATATTGGGCTTAGTGTGTGACAAGTAGATAAGCTTACCCACTAATCTCTTGTATTTTCTTTTTTTTTCATTGATGTCTTTTCTCCCTCTGAATGCATTTTTTATTGAAATCTATTGAAGTCTTCACGGGTTTGCAATCCCATCATTCCTTTCTCTTGTAATATGTCTTCTTTAGGATATCACGATACTATCTTGGATCTGACCACTTCATACCCATAAAATATCTCATCGCTCCTAGATCCTTAATTTCAAATTTAGTGGTAAGAATCTCCTTGATCTTCCCATTCTTTTTTTCATCATCATTTGTTAGGATTATATTATTTACATAGACAATTAGTATAGCCTTCTCAACTCCCTATGTATGTTTTATGAACAGTTTATGATCCACCTGACATTGGATATATTCATTAGATTTTATAGTTTTGGGAAACTTGTCAATCCAAGTCCTTGAAAATTGTTTGAGGGCTATAAAGTGACCTTATTAGTTTACAAACTAGATGTTTATTTGAGTCATTTTCCAATTCTAGTGGGATTTTTTTTATACACTTCTTCCTCAAGGTTTCCATTCAGAAACACATTTATGTCCAGTTGATGCAGTTCTCATTCTTTGTTCACTACCAAGGAAAGAACTTTTATAATGTTTAACTTGACCTCTAGAGCAAATGTCTCTTGATGGTCTATCCCATTAGACTGAGTGAAATCTTTGGCCATCAACCTATACTTGAATTTTTGAATGCTTCCATCTAGTTTATACGTTACATTCCCAATAGATATTTTATTTGGAGGATTGATCCATGTGTCATTTTGA